AGCGTGGGCAGCTTTACTTTTAGATAATGTCAGAGGTTCACTGGCAAAACCCTACAAAAAAATATAAGGACTCCTTCTGGACTGCTGCAATTGGGTGCCATTGTGTCCCCAGGGAACAGTTGAGAGTCACACAGATGATGGATGGAACCTCGGGAAGGTCAATTGGAGCCGGTCCTCGAAGGGTGAAGGGTGAAGGGTGGAAGAGAGACTAATAAAACTCATCAACGAGGTCTTTTAGTTCCAGGTTTGTAGATGGTCCCATGCACTATAGTAGAATTCACAGTAACAGATGTGAGAACTCCCTGCGAGATCTCCTGGGTCTTCTGAGAAAGGGTGCAGAATGAGTGTGAACATGGCAAAAATCAGCTTGATAGCACGTAGCGACAAAAATTAAGGGTTTGGGAGTGAACACTTGGTTGTTCCTGATATAAACCCAACATTTAAAAAGATCTCTATTTTTCATGTTTCCACTCTTCTGTTTTAATGAACATTACACACATACACGTACACGTGTATGTACATATATGTAAGTCACACGGAGAGCATGGTGTGTAAAGTTGACTCTCTTGATGACAGCTCTGGGATGCCAGCTGTCCTGTGCATGAAACAGTATTCAAGACGCCACTGAGGGACTTCCCTGGTGATCCAGTGGTTAAGACTCCGCACTACTAATGCAGGGGGCGCAGGTTCGATCCCTGGTCAGGGAACTAAGATCTCGCATGCCGCTCAGCTCAGCCAAAATGAAAAAAACAAAACAACAACAACAAAAAAAAATTCAAAAAAAAAAAAAAAAAAGGACGCCACTGAGCCCAGCTGCAGGCACAAGAGGAGATTTTGGGACTCACTAGATTATCCACCAAGGGGGCATTAAAGTAGGAAGAACCCTGAGCCGCTCAGCATGATGGAAGAGTTCTGGCCTCTCCTCGAGTGTAGGGATGCAGGATCTGCTGGGCAGGATTTGCGAGCACCTCCCAGGGAGACCAGGGCTGTCCGCGAGGGGACGGGGTCAGGGAGGGGCTCACGCTGGTCTCCCCGAAGGCGGGTCCAGCCCCACTCACCCCCGCCCGGGAGATTCATCTTCGGAGAAACACTTCCTGGTGTATAATTAGTTTCCCCGGAGATGGAGAGCTCAACCCCAACGGATGACAGGAGGATGACTTGGCAACTGGAATTCCCAGAGGCATGAGGTGGAGCCCAGCCTGGGAAGAAAGGCCGGCTCCGAACGCCCACTCCCCTGACGCTCCCACATACCTGTGTCAACCACCCTCCGGGCTCCTTGTCACCGTCCCCACCAGCCGCCCACGCGACAGCGGGGACCTGCACCAGCCCGCCCGGCTGTATCACCTTCCGCGTCCCCCTTCTTCTCCAGCAGCCATCCCCCCACCCCTGAGCCTCGGCCAACCTCCCCCAGAGCTGCGACTCCCCACTTCGTGAACACACCCGCTGCTTCTCCAGCTCCCTCAGATTCCCACAAAAGCAGAAGGTTCTTCATTCATCTGCAGTGGGCAGAGGCTTACAGGTGTGCCTGAGAGGGAAGTCTGGGATGCCCCAGGTTGAATTCCAACGAAGCTAATGGAGGAAACGGAGGTAAAAACGTTAGACCCCGACTGAAATTGCAGACCACGAACGTGGGGTGGCACGAGCTGTATTCCAGTCTACTCCCCTCCATGTTCTCCCAGGTCATCAACCCTCACTTCTCTCTGTTCCTGGCCTTTCTTCCTTCTGCAGCTGGACCTGTAGCTTGACCTCTTCAACGGCCCTCTCATCAACATCAACCACCTTGCTGACCCCACCCCCCTGCTGGACCCCCCGGGCCCGAGTGCACAGGCCGTCTGCATTCCCCGGCATCCAGCCAGCTGGGCGCTGCTGGGGGAAAACCGCACGCTAACACAGTGTGCTAGGGTGTGGGGTCTACAGTACAGTTCGTACATCTCTTCCACCCAGGCATCCCAAACTTCTCTCTCAGGCACACCATTAAGCCTCTGCCGCTGACAGCACACGGCCTCTGCTTAACCAGAGAGGAGGAACCATCAGAATGAGCCCCTCAACTCTCCGGACACCCAGTAGCATCACACTCAACTACCCCTGCAGCTCCTCCCCTCTGCGGCCAAGGCTGGGCGGTCCTCCTGCGGGGCTTGGATCCAGCCCTCCCCTCCCCCACTCCCTTGACCCATCTCTCCCCAACCCCACTCCAGAACCTTCCAAATCCCCGCTTATACTCACTCTTCCCCCTCCCCGTGGACACGTGCTCATGGTCTCTTCCCATCCTTAAGAGTGGTCTCCCTCCCCAAGCCCCAAATGCCCTCTTCCTTTTTTATCCACATCGAAGCTGCTCAACGAGCTGTCTCCCCCAGGCTTCAATTCTGCAGCCCCCAGTACAATCCTCAGCCCCTGCAGACTGGCTTCTGCCCACCAGGTTGCCCGTGACTTTGTGTGGGAGGTGGGAAGCATCCGGGGTCAGCAGAGCCCTGTCCTGCGTCCCACAGCCCCCAGAGCGGCATGAACCGGTGTGGGAAGGAGGGCTGAGGCCTGGGGATGGTGCAGCGGGCCTCAGGGCGTTTCTGGCCCTGGAACACATGTGTGTGCGCATGTGCGCGTGCATATGTGTGTACCTGTGTGCAGCGGCTGGGTACACACACGCACATGTGCACGCGTGTGCATGTGTGCGGTTAGGTGGCTGTGGGCAGCTTCATGGCTACTACCTTGTTCTTCCTGAGACCTGCTGTGATCAGGCAGGAACCAAACCCAATTGATTTACCTCCTATGTGGCTGTGACCGCATTTCCCATATCCGAAATTGAGACACGGCGTCTGACGAGAGGTCGGACGTTTGAGTTGGGACCACCCTTGAGAAGCCCTGGGAAAGCTGGCTGCACACACAGCAGGGGGACAGAAATCACAGCCTAGCACCCTGGCCCGATTCTGAGACAGCAAATTCTGCTGGTGAGATGCCCGCATCTCAGCCACCCTCTCTTGCAGGGCCTCGCCCAAGGGCTCCCTAGGCTGATTGTAAGCACAGGAGCAGGAAACAGAAGTGGCCCCGAGGCAGGCCATGCCCGCCACTGGCAGGAGACGGCCTGCAGCAGTCTCTCCGACCCTCTCCTGGACGGCTGCCAGAACAGCTCGCGAAGCGGAGGGCGGGTAGCCTCAGTCGCCTCCCCAGCTGGGAGCAGCTCAGATGCCCCCTCCGGCTGACGGGTCCATCAACTCTCCGATGGTCACACACTGAAGTGGGCTCAGGCTTCCGCGGGTACCAGTGTATGTTGGAAGCATGTCGCATCTTTCCCTCTTATTTTCCATGTGCAGGGGAAAGGATACGGTTCCCAGAAGCCTAGGTTTGAACCCTGACTATGTACAACCTGACTCACTGGCGGGCTTACAAGACAGTTTCACAGAGTCTAGGGTTTCTGTTTCTTCCTGATGGGACCTCAAACAATGAGCTCTCTGTGTCCCTGCACTGTTATTTCATCACTGACACTGATCTTCCATGTCAAACAAACGTCACTCCTCGTCTCTCTTCCTCCCTCTGTTCTGAGACTCAGGAACCATCATTTCCTGAGGTCAACAAGCGATGGAATGTTATCTCAAGGGGAATTCTGATCCAGAGAAACCACAGGTCATTGTTTCCTTGTAAAGGGAGGCTGTGTAAGGCGAGCGCAAACTAGGCTGGGGAGATGTGTGCCCTTATTTCCGAGGCTAGCTCTCTTTTCGGGAACAAAGCACTCCCTGCTATTAAAACTTATCCTAAGAAATGGATGGACACCTAAGCTTGGGGTTCTGTCTGCACCAAGGGAAAACTAATACACGCTTTTGTTGTTGAAACTCGTGTCTTGATTTGATTAGAAACTCCGGGGTCATTCGAGGTCAAAGCGTGCTCCACCTTCTCTGTCCTTCTCACCCAAGCGGAGCGGGGGGGATGGAAGGCAAAGTTCTCAGGGAGGAAAGCGTCTCAAGTGACAAGACTTTCTATGGACTTGGAGACGCCAGGAAGCCCAGGAATAGGAACGAGACGCATGTTCCTCTTGGATTTGGGGAAGGGGTGCTCAATCCACACCCACAACACGGGTAAAAGGTAGCCAGCCAAAAGTAACTGCCATGGGGATGAGCAAGCTGGGGGAGGCCATGGGTCCGGGGCTCAATACGGACATCATTCTGCTAAAAACATTTGTAAAATAACCGAGGTTGTCAATCCAAACTGTGGACGGTGCATACCGGAGAAAGGTACCCATAACCTGGGGTACGTTTTCAAATGCACCAACCACCAAGAATTAGGAGTGCTTTGATGGGGCAGCGGGGGAGGAATGTCAAGGCAGGCCCTTCCATAAGTAAACTGAGTACAGATGGGCATTTTGCTAAGACTGATGGAATGATCTTTGCCCTTTTCTCCATGTTGCCAAACTTCCTCCCATAACTTGAACAAAATAATAAAGAAAAAAAAAAGCCATGGGGCTGGGCCGGCCTTGTCCTTCATGTATGTGGTACATCTGCCACCACCGGCTCCCACGGGCCAGTATCCTTCTGTGAGGCGGTCTGTTCTCAGGACAGCCCCACAGAGCCTAGTTAGAGATGCTGTCATGTGGCCAGTGAGTGATACAGCTCTTAGGAACTTAAGGTCCAGTTTTATATCCTACATCCAGAACAGGGCCACCCAGGTTTCTTATATTTCTCCTTATTTTCCACGGTAGAAAAAGAGGCTTTATCTTGACTGTTTTTCTAAACTTGAACTCTAGGTCTGTCTTTTAAAAAGGAATCCATTGAAACGGGCAGTCAGTATTTAATTCAAAAAGCCAAAAGAGTTAATAATTTGTTACTTAACTTTTGATCATCCAGGCTGGGGTTGGCAGGTTTGCTAATAGTTACCTGTCCCCGGGCCAAATACTGGCACAGAATGAGGCAATGGCTTTCTTTCAGTGACGAAAGACATTTAAACCCCTGTTGGTCCCAATGAGGTGATAAATGGTCTTGGCTTCTTTAAATCTAGGGAACATAAAGTAAACTCACCTTGAAAATTTGCTGGGACCTTCTCCATCTTCATCATCAAAGTCCATTCTGAAAAGTCAAGATCACGAGTGAGCATTCATTATACGTAGGACATTTAACTGGACACATGAGCTGGTGTCACACACACACGGGGTTTTATTTGGTCAGATTGCTCTCCAACAATCCCAACCCTTGGCAGTGCAAAAAACAGTATCTCTACACAGTCATTGTACAGGTTCGAGACAAGAAAGGGCAGAATGAAAGGTCTACAGCACCAGTGCCATTAATTATATGATTGGAGACTTCTGCAAAAGTGCTGGAATATCAACTCGAACCCTTCTCGAACCCTATACAGGCTGCCAGTGGGTTGCTCAGGCTGTGCTGGAAAAGTCAACACCCCTTATCTCCCACCACCTTTGGGGATACCTGCTCCCCTCCATATCATTTATTCCACAGGGAGACTTCCTTCTTTAAATTGTTTTGTGGTATATTAACAGACTGAGAAAAGCCCAAGAGGGTTTCAAAAACAGAAAGTTTTAAGGGCAATGAAGGGATTATGAGGGAAACATATACTACTGGTTGTGCCATGTAAGGACTTGGCTGGTGTGGATGAGTCAACATGGAAAGGGCATTTAAGGCCATTATCCTATAAACTCCAGGTCCAAGTAAATGGGTGTGCGGGAGAAACAGTCGTTTGGGGCCCAAGCTACTCAAAGTGCCTGTCTGCTTACTGAAACTCACCCAATAAATACTCAAGATTCCCACTTCATTGGGCCTCTCCAAATACACATAAAACAAAAAGTTTTGATAGATATTTCTTTAACTGATATCCCAAACTCTCCTTCTCAAAAAACAAACAACACAAAACAGTCCTCTCTAAGGTCAGTTAATTTTACTCCTGAAGCTGTTAGAGCAGAGCAGGTACTTATTTAAGGTGTACCCAGAGTCTTCGGGAACAAAACAGAAATGGTACAGATGTCTTCGCTCTCCTGGACGTTTGGGGGAGGTGGGATTCCTTGGGGGAAGAACGTCTCAGAGCCACTGCATGCCCCATCTTGTTCTCAGTGGAACTGAGGGACTAAGTGGGACACAGTTTCCGTGGACCCCAAGCAGAAGGGAGGCCGGCCTGCCTGGTGGCCAACAGCTTGCCACCAGAATGGCAGGTGTGCTCTAGAACCACAGCTGCATATGCCAGGGCTGCTGGCCTCACAGGGAATGTGATCTCCCCCTCAGCTCTCAGGGTGGGGGCCCCAGTGGGTAATGGGTGATGGGGGGAAGGCACAGGGCACCCAGGCCACCAGGAAATGGCCAGTTGCATAGGAAGAGCCACCACGGGACAAGCACATGGGAGAGGCCCCTAATGAGATAAATCGTACTCTCTAGGCTTTGGGGTTACTTGGGGGACCTAGAGACTGTGATGACATAGGGCAAAGGAACATTGTCTTCTTTAAAATGGTATCACATGTTTATTTTTGTACTGTTTTATGTGCAGTGTGGCCAGGGTTCTAATCTGAGTTGAACTGATGGGATCCCCTGCCAATTTGGAATCCCTGATTTCCAGGCACCAGGGCTTGCACTGGCTGCTTGGAATAAAAGAACAAAAGGCATTACATAACTGGGAGAGATGACAGCGATGTTAACAAAAATACTTCTGCACAAAGAGGAGGGAAGACCGGGAAGAAGAGTGATAAGAATCACGTGATAAAAATCACATCTGGGAGATAGCACCAAAACTCCTGCTCCCAGAGCCTCTGGGCCTCTGCAGAGCTACGGAACCACACTGCCACCCAGTGTTCATCACGGGTAAGAGCGACTTTGCTGCAGACATGAAGGTTACTTAACACCCCTGGGCTGGCAAAAACAGACTAGTGTTAAGAAAAAGAACTCGCACTTTCAAAATTCTAATGGATTTATGCAAGCATTTAGCAAAGCCTCAACTGGGTGCGACATGTACAGTTTATCTTTAAACATGTACAGTTTATCTTTAAAATGCCTTTCAGGTCAAGTTGATATGAGCGTGATAATCTGGCTCCTGCAAGATACAGTTGATTAAGTCAGCCTTCCCTCCTCAGGCTGCACGATCTTTGGGGTATTTAGGGAGACCAACTGTCCCGGTTTTCCCAGAATGTGGGGATCTGTGGAGGTACTGGGCTTCAGTGCTAAAACTGGGAAGGTCCTGGGCCAACCAGGACGGTTGGTCACCAGAGTTTTCATTAAGGACAGCTTGTCTCTTTACCTGAACCTCATGCAGCAGACGGATGGGGAAGCAAGCCATACAGTAAACGGTCCCAGTCTGGATCAGGTCAGCCCAGCTGAGCAGAGAGTGTAAGAGAGGGGCGGCCAGGCTCTGGAGCCAGAGTTTTCTGAAGTCTACTGAAAACTTAGGAAGCAGGATCTGGCTACGAAAACGTAGGGACCGCAAAACTGTGCCTTCCCACCTGTGTAAGCGTGTGATCGCACGTGTGCTGCCGTCACATCTAGGAATTTTGAAACGCATAATGTGGGTGTGGACTCCGGAGAGAAATCAGGACACAAACGACCGTTCAGATCCTCAGGGTAACTCACTTGACCCCAAAGCGGTCTCACTGCTCATCAGCCACACGGAAAAAAACTCAACTCCTGAGGACGGAGGGATCTTCCGGAGGAGCGCTTGCCAAGACGCTGCCTTTGGCTCTTCTGCCGCCAATTCAAATGCTCCACTTTAAATATGACTACAATAGCTGTGCTTTTCTTCTGCTATAAAAACTGAGTAAATCGTCCTGTGTGTCTTTTATGTGTCTCTATTATACTTAAGCATCTGGATAATAAGGGAGAGAAATCAAAACATTCACTTTAAAGAATTCGGTACAATACGTGGATGACCTAAGAGTCCTCGAAAGGTGGGCTGAGAATGCATTTCGCCTCACTTTCCTGTCGCTGAGCATGGATTCTAACCTCGATCAAAAGCCGTGAAAAGCACTGCTGGGCCTGCAGCTAGTCAAGAGGGAGTGCTGCGGCCCTGCCTGACAGCGACTGTATAATAAAAACAATGCATCATCAAATACGAGTCAGCAAATCATTCCCTTATGCTCTTATGAGAGAAGATGAGACGCCGTGCCAACAAGGCTGGTTCTAGAGTGCAGCAAACGAGCAACCCCAGGCCAGCGTGAAGCTGCTGCTGAAAAAAAAGAGAAGTGACACGGGTGCGAGCCAACACCCTTCCTTCAGGGCCTGGGCCAGCTGACTGGGGCTACAGCAACACTACTGCAGAAATTTGAACAAGCAAAACATCTGCTTATGTAATATGTCTTTTACTCAACCACATTCCAGCAGCCGTGGGGTTAGACTGCAGGGAGACGCTGGCCTACTGGCCGCACACAATTCGGAAATCGTTTCCCTCCAATGACGATATTTTAGAAGCCCAACATTTGACTCCAAGGCAGCGGGAAGGGGCTGGTACACCCAGTGCCCTCCAGCCTCACCCTCCCTCCCCACCAAGGGCTGACTCTGGGGATGGGCACAGCCTGTCTAATGACAGCCACTTCCCCTGTCACTTGAAAAGCACCAAGTGTGCCCTGTGGATGCCCCTCCCCATGCCGTCCCACCGCCTCACTGGGATCAGGGAGTTCTCTACAAAAACGCAATCCAGGTGACTTGCTTCTGGTCACTTCTGCCACACATGTGGAACCACTTTTCAAAGAATCTGAAACTTCTGAACCTTCACCTTTGTCCCAACTGCTAGCAGAGCACGCTGCTTGCTGAGATGCTTACTGGGGGAGCTGTCAAGGGGCAGGGAAAGAGCATTCATCAGAGGACCCACGGCGCTGGGCCAGGCATGTAGCCGGGGCATCCAAACCCCACGAGGGGTCACTTCTACTTGGCTCTGAAACACTAGGGCTGGGTGGTCATCCTGGGAATCTGGGACACGTCCCTCCACCGGAATCACCAGGTCAGAGCGGGAAGACCTAGGCAGGGAATAGGGGGTGGGAGGCAGGTCCTTACCTCTCCCAACCCCCCACTCCTTTGCTCTCTCCTTCTCCCCTTCCCTGCGTCTCCAGCTGTGCCCCACAGTCTCGGAGAGAAGGAGGAAGAGCACCGTGGCAGTGACGGGGGAGCGTGCATAAACGCGCCATGGTGCAGGGGTGGGCGCCGCAGTGGGGTGACCTGCCTTTTTTTGGGGGGGGTATGCGGGCCTCCCACCACCGTGGCCTCTCCCGTTGCGGAGCACAGGCTCCGGACGCGCAGGCTCAGCGGCCATGGCTCACGGGCCCAGCCGCTCCGCGGCATGTGGGATCCTCCCGGACTGGGGCACGAACCCGTGTCCCCTGCATCGGCAGGCGGACTCTCAACCACTGCGCCACCAGGGAAGCCCGGGTGACCTGCTTTTTGATGAATGTGACTTTCGTCAGGGCTGAGCGCGCAGGCTGCGGTCTGCGGAGCGTTATCACTGCTGTGGTTGTTCTACAACCGCGGTGGCCTCCATCACAGAATTTCAGCAAAACACGTAAAATACCAGATGTGAGAGTTACTATGGAAACTGCCCTGTAAAAATGGAGGTTTCCTTGCTGAGACGCAGAGGATACATCCCTCAGTCACAGGGGCTTAGCAGAAGGAAGCGCGGTTTGCCTGTTCTTCCTTCTGATGGGGAAAAGGAAGCAGGCGCACGGGCTCCAAAAATGAGGAGAATAAAGGACGAGGCCCCGAGGAGGTCGGCTCCTTGATCTGCGTTTCGGAGGCGCGGGCCCTCATCCTGCTGGTTGGGTAGCATGCCAGCAGTTGCTGTGCGTCTCCTTGAATCTCTGGTTTCTTTGCTTGCTGTGGTGCTTCCTTGCTTCTAAGTGGAAGTGACCTCTGGGCTCTGTCTCAGTCCACCCCAGGTCCCCCTCCACCTCCAGTGTCACGCCGTGTATGTGTGACCTGGTAGGGAAAGGGGCAGCCTGGAGGACCTCTTCAGAAAGGAGACCGAGTCCACTGTCCGGTCATCAGCTCAGGCAGCAAGCAGATGTCAGGGTCTGGACGCCAGGAACTCGGAGGTCAAGGAGGGCAGGAGCCTCAGCTCGCCACAGCCCAGCCCTGAGCAAAGCGTAGGCCCAGCACACACCCTGCGGGAGGGGTGGCAGAGGCTCAGCGATGACTCCCCTGCACGGAGAGGGCTCCTTGTCCTGCAAATACTGGGCCCCAGCATCTCTGCCTGTCCTTGGCCCTGGCCCAGCCCACCTTCCTGCATCAAAGAGTCCTGTGCTACAGAGGTAGAGAACAAACGTATAGACACCAAGGCGGGGAAAGTGGTGGGGGGTGGTAGTGGTGGGATGAATTGGGAGATTGGGATTGACATGTATACACTAATATGTATAAAATGGGTAATTAATAAGAACTGGCTGTATAAAAAAATAAATAAAATAAAATTTAAAAAATGTTTAAGAAGTGTTAAATATACAGAAAAAAAAGAAACAAAAAGAGTCCTGTGCTTCCTCTTCTTAAAAAGGATTGGGCCAGCAATGAGGCTCTGTCCCCAGGGAATGGAAGTTAGCAAGCACAGACATTTAAAATAATTTTTAAAAGTCCTGGCATCTTAAAAAAAATTCAGTAGGTTTATATGTTGACATCAAGTGCATTCTTTCAACAGCCCACACTCCACTGAGCTTAGCACCTCGTTAGCAAGAGTAGTTGGTTAAAAGAGGATGTCTGGGTTTGCAGTAAGCCCTAGGGCAGGCTGCTTCCTACTCTAAAGCTGATCTCAGGAGTTCTGCCCCAGGCACCACACTGCTCATGAGAGCTCTGCTGGTCCCGCTGGAAGGAACGCTGACCCTGGAGGGGAGCAAGCTGAATGGAGGGGAGAAAGCTGGGGAACCAGACTCCATTACCCTCTCACTAATCACCAAAATCTTAGTCCTTCTTTTAAAGACTACTACACACACAGCAGTCTTTTCACCATCTCAAATTATAACGCTGAAGGGGCTTTTTCATCCTACTCCATTCCATTCCAGGTCCTCATAACATACCTGCTCCCCCTCCCCCAGCCCCGTTTAAGAATCACACTGGTTTAAAAGCAACTCTTAGGTTTAAAATGATGGACCATTTTACAAATGAGCCTGGACCCTTGTCTTCCTGGGGAGACCTGGGTTACTGGAAATTGCATTAATAGGACAAATTGATTGTACTTTATGAAAGTATTTGTCTATCAAATATTTCATTCTATTTCAATGTCTATTCTATTTCATGAAAGTATTTGTCCCTCAAATATTTGTCTCTCAAATATTTCATTGAAAATAAAATTGATTCAATGAAGGAAAGGGGTTGGTTGATATACAGAGTCTGAAAATGTCGGTTATGTTTTTCCTGCAGGGATCTGTGTTGGTTGATCGGTTTCGTAGGCCTCTGCACAGCTATACAGACACCATACATCATGAGTAGATGTCGTTTTGGGTTCCATCAGTTTAGGAATGATGGTCTTTCTGGTCCCACCAGAACTTAACACTGTTACCAACTATACTGGCAGAGCAGGTCAATGTAAGCTGCCCAGCCTTTAGGTGCTGGGCTAGAGCCAGTTTTTTGGAAAGGAATTCCTGCACACCACCTAGCAAAGACGGGTAGACGGAGCAAAGAACAGAGAGCACCAGAGGGATCTTTGCTGCCCACAGGGGCTGAAGCTCGACCTGCAGGGCTGCCCTCCGGCTGGTGGGCTCAGGCAGAGGGATGGGTAAGTCCCCTCCCTCAGAGAGATGGCCTGAGCAAAGCCCAGCAGGATCACAGAGCCATTCTCACCACAAGGACAAGCAAACAGAAGTCCCCAGCTGGGTGCTGAGGCCCAAAAACACTTAGAGGCAAATCACATGCATAGTTAGGAATCTTGCAAAATCTAAACAGGATGCAAACTGCTGAGCTTTTATTCTCCAGGAGGGGGAGAGACAATATTTTCCTAACAGGTCAAGAGTGTTGCTCAACATGTATTAAGCCCAGTTCCTGGAACCACCGAGGTTGCTTACCCAGAACGCCGCTTTCCTCCGCGGGCGGGCATGGCCCCGGCCATCCTCACCTGTCCAGTGGCTGCCATGGGGGCAACGGGCAATGTCACCGATCCAGGGATGTCCGAAGCCATTTCTGCAATTCAGCAAAGATGAGAGGTTTTGTAAATGCCAGAAAAGTCCAAGAATAAACAAGAAGATTGTCCGGCAGACCAAAAGCACCACCTGGGAGGAGAATCCAGGGGCCTGGGTCCTGGGCCCATCATTAGTCACGTGACGCAGCTGAGCCCTTCCCCTGTCTGGAAAAGGATATCCCTGGGCAGTATGCCCATACTTACTTTAGGTGGTAAAAAAAGAGTTCGCGCAGCTAACTTAGCTTTCATAAAGAGCTCCTGTCTCCTCTCACCTGGAGGCAGGTAAGACGTTCAGGAATCCAGACATGTGGCCAAAGCTTAAGGGGAAGGACCCCACTGCTGGTCCCAACTACTGGTAGCCCACATGGGGCCAACCCAGAGAACCAAAAGAGCCAATCCCCTGCAGCACCACTACTGATGCTCGGTCCTCACCCTGGGCATCTGTGTTCAAGCAGAAAGTCTGTTCCCCTCTCTAAATATGGACTCAGAATCCCTGAATACAGAGCCCTGCCTGGCCCTCCATTCATGACGAGGACAGTGAGGTCCAGGGGCCTTAAAAGCATCCCTTCGGGCTGCACGGTAAGCCAGTGACAACGGCTCTCCACAGCCAGGACTTTCTGGGAAGAAATGTTAATTTAAAGAATAAGTATGTCTTTGTTTTTCTGACTTACTTCATTCTGTATGACAGACTCTGGGTGTGGTACAAATGAACCTATTTGCAGGGCAGGAATAGAGACACAAGACACAGAGAACAGACATGTGGACACGGTGTGGGGAAGGGGAGGGTGGGATGAATTGGGAGACTAGGTTTGACAGAAATACACTACCATGTGTAAAAAAGATAGCTAGTGGGAACCTTCTATAAAACACAGGAAGCTCAGCTCAGTACTTTGTGATGACCTAAATGGGTGGGATGGCGGGGGTTGGGAGGGAGGTCCAAGAGGGAGGGGATAGATGTACACATAGAGCTGATTCACTTCATTGTACAGCAGAAACCAACACAACGTTGTAAAGCAACTATACCCCAATATAAAAAAAGAACAGGTATGTCTGGCATTAGACGAGAGTACCTTTCCAGTACATCTTTATCATAATGTATTATTGCTTATAAGCTAGAAACTTTCAGAAGCTTGTTAAGGCCAAGGTACACACCCCTAATGTCAAAGAAACCACAGTTAAAGAATTTCTCCTTCCCACTTTGTGGAGAGTTCTTGAACTCAGATGACCTTTCCTCAGACCATTAAATGACAAATGCAATACTCCAGGGGCCTCTCTGATCCTGTTTATTGTTCTTGGGAATGACTTCCACAGGGCTCTATTTTCTCAGCCCAACTCTTATTCAGGGCAGAAGGGAAGCAACAGTCTATGAAAATGTATTTCAGAAAGACAGTCTGGGATAAAGACAGGAATCTGGGCCCTTGTTAGTGAAGGAACGTTGGTGATGCTCAGAAGTGTTAAGTTACTGCTCTCTGCCCCCTCCCAGAAACCACGGAGGGATCTGACAGCTGATCCACAGTTATGTCCAAAGACACTGTGTTTAATAAACATACTCTAAGGTCAACCTGAACTACTCCACTCAAAAGTTCTGTAGAAGAATTTTACAGTACTAATAAACAAAATCTTAATTTAGCTACTCCACTATGTTCACAAAAATTTGAGAGCTATTAGTTTTTTGTTGTTGTTGTTTTTGTTTTTTTTTAACTAATGTACACATTGGAAAGTACTCAAGGAGAAAAAAAAAATCCCTTTCTTAAAGCAATCCTCTCCTCTCTAAACAATTCCTGTACTGGATTTGTGACAGCTAGGCAGTATGAACAGCAATGACCTCATAACCTTATATCTGCCTGCTTCTGATAAGAAATCTGTATTTTTTTCTGCAATGGAGGCTAAAGCACGTTAAGTCCATTAAGTCCCAAAATTAAAAGGCTGAACCACTGCCAGTGCAAACATGGGCGAAAACAAAAGTCACCGCTTCCCAAAGTCAGTCCCACAGAACATCAGGCTCTTAAGATTCTCCAGGAAAAAGGGTTGCGTGGTCAAACAGGTTAGGGAAAAGTCACACACTTATCCCCCTTCTCGAAGATTTCGGTGCCCACCAAAAAACACACCGAGAAGTCCTGATATAAGGACATTTGTTTACCTGTGACTAAGCCAGCGTATCATAAAGGTCTCTAATGGTGGAAACTCTTAAAATGTGTTCTCCGAACAACTCATGTTCCATGTGACACTAGTTTAAGTATTTTAAAGTCAGCTACCTCATTCCTGCCTTTGAGTTAAGGAAACGTCAGGCTGGAGGAGATCTTCGCCATTGTCTGCAGACCTGGAAAGGCCCACCCTTTCCCTGTGTGGTTACCCTCCAGCTCGGAGGTGGGGAGTGGGGAGGAAGGAGTGGAAAACGGAAGGCAATGTGCAGTTAGGAAAGAAGCTGATATCTATCCCATTTTATTTGGGGAAAACAAAGGTGCAGACGGTGAAGTTCCACAAAAACCCTGGCTATGGGGCAAGGGTTGAGGAATACGGAAAGTCCAATCCTTTCCTCAGACAGATGAGGGAAGCGAGGAAAAAGAGATTAAGTGACTTCCACAGGTGCCCACGGTGGACCAGGGGCCGGGCCAGGGGCAGGCCCAGTCTTTCTGTCACATCAGCATCTTATTCTGCTGGACTGTTTCCCATGATTAAGTTTCACTGGCCCAGAAAAAGAGCCAGCTCTGCGAAGACAGGCCCACACCAGCCTGCCTCCATCAGACCCCACTAGGTATATTCTTGTGCCCTCCAGGCTTGGTGCGAGATACCAAGTGCAAGTGGACAGGCAGACACAAGTAGTTTCTACCACAGAGAAAGTGTATGCTTCATGAAGGCCATGTGGTGGATATGCTGAGTTGGCTACAATCTTTACATGTGATATGCGTGTGTCATAGAGCCCATGCACCATGGGATAAGGGGAAGGGAGCAAGGGAGCCTTATATGCAAATACATCGACATAATTTGCAAATGAGAGGCACATACACATCTCCAGCAAAGGGGGCTGCACACACAGTACAGAAGGATGGCGGCTCACCATCCACAATGTCCAAAACTACCCGCTCCCCACTCCCGCATTCAAAAAGCATTTCTAAGAAGACCTGACTCATTCTAGGTTTACATTTTCTCCTGTACACTGCATCTGTATATCATGTACCCGTTTCCCTACTGAGACTCAGAGGTTTTTTTCTCATCTATTTGTATGATCTCTTTTTATGACAAAGATATTAGAGCTTTGCCACATTTTCTGAAAATCTTTTACAATATTTTTCCAATCTGTTGCTTGCTTTTTTAGGTTGAGAGATTTTTTTTTTGAGAGAGATTTTTTAATACTAGAGAAAGCTTTAAGAGGTAGGGTTTTAAGATGTATTGGTCAGCTTGGGTTGCCATAACAAAATACCACAGATGGGGGGCCTAAACAAAAGAAATGTATTTTCTCACAGTTCAGGGACTGGGAAGTCCAAGATCAAGGTGCCAGCCAATTTGGGTGCCAGTGAGAATCCTCTTCCTGGTTTACAGACCACCTGCCCTCCGTGTCGTCACATTTCCTCTTCTTCTAAGGCCACCAATCCTAGGGCCCTACTCTTATGACCTCATTTAAACTTAATTACCTCCTATAAGCTCTAGCTTCAAATACAGTCAATGGGGGGTGGGGGGGTGGTAAGCTTAGGGCTTCAACATATGAATTTTGAGAAGATGATACAATTCAGTCCACAGCATAAGAAAAGATCAATTGTCCTAACCTCATTTATTTGAGTCCTTCCTTTTCCCCAAAAGTTTTTTTGATGCTCCCTCTGTCTTACATTTTATTTGTACATAGAAAATGTGTCTGTTTCTAGAATATCTATTCTCTTTTTTTGTCAATTACCCAGTTATCTATACTTGCTCTAGTATTGCACCATTATAACACACTTAGTGATGCAAGTTTCTCTCACTGCTCTTACCCTTCAGAATTATCTTTGTTCTTCTGGCTTATTCTTCCATTTAAATTTTAGAATAATTTGATTAAGATACAAAGTTTAACCTCCTTTGGAAATTAATTGGATTATCTTGAACCTACAAATTAATTTTGGAGAAAAGTGACAGTTTTGCAACATTTAGAATTTTCAACAAAGAATTGACATAAGCCTATAATTTACTCAAGACTTCCTTTTTAGCTCAATAAAAAGTCTTGCATTTTCATCATATAGATCCCCCCACTTTCTCATTCAGTTTATTTCTAGGTACTTTGTGATGTTATTATGATGTGATGTTGTGTTGTGTATTATGATCATTGCTACTAGTGTGAATGAGATCTCCTTTCCCAGATTACTTTCTGATTGGTTACTAGCTATGAAGACAATTGTGCTACGATAACTCTGTCATGCCTGATGTCAACTGATTCTACCAGCAGCTAAGATAGGTGTTGCCCTCCCCTCCCTTGCTGTTCTATGTATGTATTATGCTTTCAAAATTTGGCTACAGAGTTTCTAGGGCCATTGCCACATGTCCTGCCATTTCACCAAATTTTTTAAATTGTTGTAATGATTCATCATTAATTCTTCTGAATTTTCTAATTTTACAAATCCTATGGGGTACAAATAATGATACTATTTTCTCACTTTAAATAGTTAAAGGTTTAATTTCTTTTCATGTCTTATTTCACTGGTCAGAACTTCCAGAATATTCAATAATGATGACCAATAACTGGGTACCAGAAAGGCCACAGAGCTTTGCAGTGAAACATACCTGGTTTCAAATCACAACTCAAACAGTTCCTAGCAATAATCTACTTCAAAGGATCATTTTAAAAATTAAGGATAATGTATATGAAGAGCCTAACACAGCGCCTGGGAGGGAAAAAAACTCTCAGGAAGCAATGATTAAAATTATCATGATTATGGTGATGGTAAGCAAACTTGCTTGGTCCTTGAATTTAATTGTAATGACCTGCTGGTTTAAGACAAATATGCTTTATGACATCAAGGAAATCTGCTCCTAT